CACTCTGACGTTTCCAAACTCCCCATCCCCCCCCTCGCCACCTCCATCCGGCTCCTCTAGTTCCTACAGCAAACAGGAGGAGAGACAGTCAGAAGTAAGGCACAATCCTGTCGCACCAATCGACCGCAAGTCATCACAAGTCAAAAGCGGGTGTGGCACACAAACTGTACTGCTTACGATCATGTTTATTGAGCGCATGCTAACGTGAATTCAGTCTGAAAAGTAAATGTTTACCTTTCATTTCAAAGACGAGCGCTCACTTTACAATGTGACAAGGTTCAAACTCCACTGCCTTTAGACTCCTAGACACGGGGACTTTTGCCTGATGAAGTTTGGTTTCTGTGGCAGTTTTACGTTTGGGTTCAGTTTGTGCTGTTCTCTTTAGGACGTTAACATGGTTTCAGTTCCACACTGAACTTGAAGCATTAAAACACCTGACGATCTGGGCTGTTCTGTGCTTCCTTGTGCAGCTGTAGGGAGAATGATGGAGGTGACCCTGGCAGCCTCTTACCCATCCCGTGGACTCGATCATCTTCAGCTCCAGAGGGTCACCCAGGGGCTGATCCCCCAGCAGGGCCACAGAGTGACAGCTGGCCAGGGCGGAGAGCAGCAGGCCGGGGGGCAGCAGGCGAGGGTCGGGCACTAGCTCCCCAAAACCTGCCTTGCTCCCCTCCATGACCCCCCACACGTCCAGACCCTCCTCCGTCAGAGTGCCTGTCTGATGACGGGCAAAGGAAAAGGAGAGAAAGGAGAGGAGAGAACAGTCTGTTAACATGAGGAGAGGAGAAGTGAGCGTGATGATTGGAAAACAGCTGACAAGCCATCATTTTAAACAATTTAAGACGTGATGTTTTTGAAGGGTTAGGTCCTTTGAGCTGGAAAATCTTCATATTTTTGGCCAGGAAAGAGGGTGTGAGGACATTTTCTGGGTGCCACACGCACATTAAGGTCAGGAAGCACACCCCCCCCCGTCCCCGCCCCTCACCTTGTCGAAGCAGAAGACCGAGACCTTCCCACAGACGTTGATGCGTGGCGGGCTGATGCAGAAGACGCCGTTCTTCTTCAGCCGGTTCTGGGCGTAGATGGTGCCCGTCGTCATGGCGGCAGGGAGTGCCGGCGGCACGACGATTGTCACTATGTCCAGAGCCCGGACGATAAGCTCCACCCAGGGGGTCTGGAAGCGACATCAACACACGCTGGAGCTCAGGGGCTTTGCTGCACAGCGTGTCAGTTTGGGCACAAATGCAGCAGCGGTTATCTGCTAAATGCTAATTGCTAATTGACGTGCTCCCTCATAGAAGTATAGTAACTAAGTGACCCCTTCAGTGCCCCAGAATCGTGTTCCAAGCAGGCACACTTCAGATTCACTTTCCAGGCAAGGTGAGGAGTTGAAGCAGGTAGACTCAGGAGCTAAACTGGTCCCTTCAGTGACTTAAAACCAGATTGGTGTCAAACAGACAGTTTAAGAAGTTATGTTGACAATTTCCAGGAAAAAGTAAATCTTTTCCAGTTTCCAAAACCAAGCTAACGATGAGTGTGTGACATTATACAAGGTTGCTGAATCTGCTTCACAGCTAGCTGATGTCAGCATAATCCTGATTTCACCTTAAAAGACCAAGCATATGACAACATCTTTGCTTTGTCTTATCAGTGTTCAAGGCCCACAGTTGATCTGCAGTCATTATGCCCACATAAGTCCAATGAAAAGCACTGTAAATGTTAAAAATATTATGGTTCCAAGTGGTAAATACCACAGTATATCCCAGCACATTACTGTAATGTTGCATTAGTAATTATGAGACTCACGTTGCTCATGCGAAGGATCACAATGCTGTAGATAGTGCCCATCAGTGCTGTAACAAAAGACATGGAACAAAATAAAATATATTATCATGAAACTTAGCACTGAGGACCACATGGATTTTCAAAAATGTATGAGGGAGACAGACAGGAAACACACAGGGAAGGTATGCAGAGACAGGTATTATAATCACAAAATCAAGTAAATAAAGGCCAGCAGACTAAAAGGAGAGTGAAGAAAATGGGGCAAATAACAATAATCTGACAGAATTGAGACAGCTAGGAGCTACACACACACACACACGCACACACAGCTATATGAGCTATATAAACAGTGACGTATGCAGGTGGATACAGACAGGTAGAGACACATAGTAGCAGTGAGGTGTACCCAGAGCCCCCAGGAAGAGCAGGAACTTCATGGCGTCTCGATAGAAGCGGAAGTTGATGGGTTGGGGGTAGAGGATAGAGCTGACCAGGTCACCCTTCGCTGTAAAAAAACCTGAAAGGAAGAAATGCAGAATTCAGAAGGAGACAGACTCACCTGAGGACTCGCCTGACATAAAGGGCTTCAACTCTGTCTTGTAAATCATTCAAACAATGTTATACCATATCAAAAATTGCTGACCTGGCTCATGTGAAACATATATTAATTTCTCAGATAGCTAGTCTACACTTGTTGTGTCTTTTCATTTGTGGAGAAACAGGACAAATAGACTCAAAAGGCCCCTGACATCATTCACCTGAGCTGAGTTACAAGTGTAAAGCGCCACATGAAAACAGCCCCACACATCACCCACCGTTCCATCTCACCTGTGCGTGCGACAACAGCCAGGGCCCCTGCCCCTCTCTGCTGCCCCCCTTTGGCCTGGATGACCTGTGTGCCACAGAACAGAGTGTGTCTGCGCTGGGAGTCAGGACTGTACGGAGCTTCTCCAGCCGGCAGTGGAGTCTTCATCACTGGCACACTCTCACCTGATTCGACCAGGGAGAAATGGGAAGGGAGGGAGAAGAAAGACGTCACCCCATTGCTCTTGACCTTTTCACATTAGATCCTCAGGTCTCCCCTCTTCTTCTGAATTTGTGTACCCTCTCACATTCAGAGTTGTTCATTATTTTCATCATTTTTAAACCCATGCTTTCTGTCAAAAGCGTCCCTTGACGTCACTCGAGCTACAGAGTCACAGATATGCTCCCCCTCTGGCTCATACAATTATTCGCCTTCTTGACAGTGAAAAATAAAAAAAGTAGCAAATGTTCCTGAGGGTCTCTGAGGACTCAACGACTGACCTATTTAATAAATTTTCTAAAAGATTTTCTTTTAAAAGTTTTTTCAGTTCCCTTTTTGTACAGCTGAGAGCAGAGTTTATAATAGAAACAGGAAGTTTCACATAACCACAAAATTTTCAAGCATAAGGGCAAATGTGTCTAAGGTAGGGTAAAAGGCACATACCTACAGTCCATGCCTAATGAATGTGCCAAATCTTCTCTGAAGAAGTAAATGTACGCAAAAGTTACTGATGCGAGAAACATGGTACTGGTATTGTCTATGGCCCAGGGAGACAAAAATAATTTCAAACACATTTAGACACACTAAAGGATAAATGTGTTGACCTGGAGCCCAATGAAGCCATGGTATGGAAACGTTAAGCAAAAATCATGTTTTACAACCATATTTGGCATGGTTATACGTGGCCACGGACCAAGAGATATAACATGCAATTTATAGACCTGTACGGCCCATGTGTGATGGATGTGTGAAATGACTGAATGTGCTGAAGACCAATGGGCATGAATGGAAAAACATGCTTGGTCACCAGATTGGACGTGGCCTTAAACCTCAGCCAGTGAGAAGTCTATCACATAGGACAGCCCTCCTTATAGTAACCAATGAGCACACCATATGTGAACAAAACTGGATGCTGTCACAAGTCATACATTGATGAGCAATAGAAGAAGTAAACAAAAAAAGAACCAGGCAATGAAACAAAAGGCAATGAAACAAAAGCCTGGTTCTCTGTGTGCCTCACCAGTCAGCATGCTCTCGTTGACCATGCACTCCCCGGCCAGCAGGGCGGCGTCACAGGGCAGCAGCAGCCCTGCCTCTGGTATCACTATACAGTCCCCAGGGACCAGCTCCTCGGAGCTCACAGTGTCCTCCTCTGAAAGACAGGCACATAATATTTCAGGGAAGGAAATCAAAAACCCTCCATCAGTCTATAAATAAAAACCTGAGAGAAAAGTGGTGTTATGAGAGAGAGAGAGAGAGAGAGAGAGAGAGACAGACAGACAGACAGACAGCGAGAGAGAGAAAGACAGGCAGAGAGAGACAGAAAGAGAGAGAGAGAGAGAGAGAGAGAGAGAGACAAAGACAGTGAGAGAGAGGCAGGCAGAGAGAGACAGCCAGTGTGAGTGGAGAACTATGCGCTGTGCACCGTGACTCAGCTCATGGGGAGAGTGCACCAGTATCACTTAGTGTTAATGTCAAAATTGGCAGCCATCTGACATAGTGGTAAAGCACAGGGCTGCAAACCAAAAGGTTGCTGGTTCAATTTACCACTCCCCCCAATGCCACTGTACCCTTGAGCAAGGTATTGCCTCAGTAAAATATCCAGCTGTATAAATGACATTTTTTTCTGTTCTTGTGTTTTTATTTATTTATTTATTTATTTTATTATATTTATATATATATATATATATCTATATATATATATATATATTTATTATATATATATATATGTTATGTATTTTCTCCTCATCTGGTTTTTACTCATTCTCCTACTTCCCTCTATTCATGTATACTTGTATTGATAATCCATCTGCCTTGACTGGAAAGCACTTTGGGTCAACTCCTCTTGTTTTTAAATGTGCTATATAAATAAAAGTGACTTGACTTGACTATAAATGGGTAACATGTAAAGTTGTAACCTGTGTAAGTCGCTCCGGATAAGAAAGACAGAGAGAGAGAGAGAGAGAGAGAGAGAGAGAGAGAGAGAGAGAGAGAAAGACTCACCCCCTGTGTCTCTGCGCACGGTCACATTCACGACCAGTCGTGCCATGCTGCGGAGTGTGCTGCTTTGCTGTAGGAGCCCACCAAACAACACAGTTACACTACATACACTATACACTAACAACAGTGGCTATACATTCAGACCGGGTAAATGCAAGACAAATACAATTACTCTATATCGCTCTAGGGCAGCAGTGTAGCCTAGTGATAGGCTTGGGGCTTGTAACCTAAAGATCGCTGGTTCGATTCCCCACTGAGGTACTTCTGCTGTACCCTTGGGCAAGGTACTTAACCCACAACTGCCTCAGTAAATATCTTGCTGTGTAAATGGGTAAAATTGAAAGCTGCTCTGGATAAGAGCGTCTGCAAAATGGCAACAATGTAAAATGCAAATGTAATTTCATCAATTGAGAATATGCTGAGACCCCATTTCCCACAGATGTTTCCATTCAAAAAACAACGGTGGCATGGTTTATGGTGTGTATGTTAAATTGTGTTCCATCCACAATATTCCTGAGCTAAACTTATTAAGCTACTTTACACAGGAGCATTGCAATATTAATAATGTATCATAATGTAACTCATACAACATAATGTAACAATGAATACATTTCACACAGCTTTTCTATGGCAGCTTGCTATGGCATGCAGTGAGCCTTATTATCAAGGATATCATGTTTCGTAAGAAGATTCCCATGATCCTATTAGGAAACTTAAGACTTTGCTGTGTTTATTACACATTTAAAGGCAGGATAGCCAGAGTTAATTCCAATCCTTTCAATGAAAAGTTACGGAAATATTGGTCCCGTGAGGCCTTTAGCGGATTAATGTTTTCCAAACCGCTGGCTTTCTTCTTTTCCTCACCTTGCGGGTCTCATAAAGCGAGACTGCGATGGAGATGAAGGATATGAACAAGATGCAGGCTGCATAGTAGTAGTAGTTATCCGACATCCACAAGATAATGCTGAACACCTGGAATATGTAGAAGGGGTTGAGCACCTGGAGAGGGGAAATCAGAGAGAGGGAGGCAGCCAGTGTCAACTTGCAGGGAGAGCACGCTGGTGTCACTCAGCATTGATGGCAAATTTGGCGGCTGTGTGGCATAGCGGTAAAGCGCAGGGCCTGTAACCAAATGGTTGCTGGTACGACTACCTGCTCCCCCCCAGTGCTGCTGTACCATTGGGCAAGGTACTCAACCTAGTATTGCTTCAGTAACTATCCAGCTGTATAAATGGGTAACATATAAAGCCTATGTAAGCATATGTACCCTATGTAAGTCGCTCTGGATAAGAGCGTCTGCTAAATGAAAATGATGTAATGTCAAAACAGCACACAAGGACGAGTCTGTCACCTCCTCAAAGAGCAGTCGCGGATAGGACTTCACTGGCACATCAATCAGGTTGTGCCCGTACAATTTCCTCCTGACACAAAAGAGAACGAGAGTCAAGGCTTTAAGTTTTTCATCACAGAGACAGAATACCACAGTCTTTTAGAAGGTCATTTAAATTTAGTGTAAATTTGTGAGAACAAGAAAAAAATTGGGGGTGTGGGGGTACAAGATGGTACTGATAAAAACATAATGATAAGTTGTTAATGACAGTGTCAGAAAAGTGTTACATACATGTTCAATGCTTTCCATTATTACCTCTTTGGTCTCTCATCAAATAAGCTCGACTTCATTGAACATAACCTCACTTCCCAAGCATATGATATGAATGAATTTATGCCCAATGCCATCCCTGGTCAACACCAAGATAATTAGATAGCATGGCCCCCTTTTGCAGGAGGACAGCTGTTGATTACATATTTGTGTGTTATTTTTCTAACAGTAACAATAACCTAATAGCAAAACATATTGTGCATAGGCCATATTTCACGTTTTTCAAGTTTTTTCCAAAAACCCTGCAATAAAATGAAGTACCCCACGTGTTTTGCAGTCCCTCAGCTGAGAACCTCTGTGTTTGAACTGCAGGTATCCTTCTCTCCTCAGCAGTACTTTTATTGTTGTTTTTATTATTTTATTTCACATTCCATGTTTCCGCTTATGGTGACATGGTGTTTCAGTAATCACAATGAAGTGACCACTATTATGTTTTACTAAAATTTTTTCTGCCTTTCACCCCTGCTCCAATATGGCAGTCCATTACACTGGAATGAATGAGAGAATGCCCGTTCAAATAAGAAAATGAGTACCTACTCAATCAGTTGATTCAATCAGAATTCATCCCGAGCCAGCCGTGCCGCAAATCTAACACTGATAGCTGGTGGTTAACCAGAAAGCCAACATTTGCTCCGATATGATGGGGGGACGGGAAGTTCAAGATTTATCACAATATATGCTAAACAGAAGACAAGTGTCTGACAAGGGAGGCCAGTGTGTGGCAAGATACAAGGAGAGAGTTCCTGTGCCGCTGAATTTTCCCCGATCCCCCCTGGGCCTCCATACCAAAGCCACACCGAAGGAGAGCTGGAGGCGTTTCCACAGAAATCTGATTCAGGCTGACATTTTGCTGGCCTGGAGCCCAGGTGAGTCAGGAGGATGTAGGCGTGTTGGCATTAGATGCCACAGAAAGGGAAGCCTTTTATAAAACTGCTAAGTGTCAGTGTCTTTTTTCACACGCTGTATCATGAATAAGTTACTGTTTTACCACACAGTGTAAGCCGTGTATACTGGATCTGCACATAGTCAGCAGTGTTCACTTCACTCTTTTTGTTGCGGGTATCTCCAGAAACAGAAACAAACGCATAAGGATTGGGAATTCTCCTTCAACCATGAGCTAGCAAGCAACCTCACAAACCTGGAAACCAGTTTCACTCATTTATATATAAAGGTGATACAGGTGGACCCAGGTGGCAATGGCAGAAAATGCTGCTATAGTATAGTATGGTAATAGTATAGTATAGTGTAGTACAGTATAGTACAGTACAGTATAGTATTGTATTTTACAATATTCTACAGCAGCGTTTCTCAAACCTCTCCTGGAGTACCACTTGTCCTGCATGTTTTAGATCTCTCTCTGCTCCAACACAGCTGATTTAAATTATCAACTCGTTATGAAAACCTGAAGCTGCTTAACAACAAACTGATCATTTGAATCAGCTGTGTTGGAGCAGGGAAAGATCTAAAACATGCAGGACAAGTGGTACTCCAGGAGAGGTTTGAGAAACGCTGGTCTACAGCATAGTAGGCTACAGTATGGTGTGGTGTGGTATAGTAGGCTATAGCATAGTCGGCTATAGTAGAGCACAGTACAGTATAGTGCTAGGATGTTCCAAGTGTCAGCAGCATTTCAGGAGGATAGATCCCATCATCTAAAATGCAAAGCACCACACTGAGTCACATTACACCTGCAGCTAAGGCAGGTGGGATGAGACCTGGCAGGTGTGGGTGCGTAGTGACTCACCTAGCACTCTGCTCCTGGCGACTCAGCCCTCCTAGCTGGTGGTACAGGTCGTCACAGGTCCAGTCCTGGCTCAGGACACTGAGGAGAGAGGAACACACATCCATCTGATCCCGCTCCTCTCTCTCAAGCAGACAGAGCTTTGATTCGTTTTTTGAGGTCACCTGAACAACTGCTGGAGGATTAAACTTTTGAATGGTTAGCTGTGGAAATTCCTGAATGAAATGCTTTTCAAACCCCACCACTATGCCGGTCCCTGAGCCACCGGGTACCCTCCTTCTCCCCACACCGTACCTGACCCGACAAAAGGCACCCTTCTTCGGCATCCACACATAGCGCAGACCCTCATACACATAGTACCTCAGCAGTGCTTTCTGAAAGACAAGGGAGGTCAACCAGGTAAACTCAACACAGCACACTGTGGCAATCCGCTCCCTCTCTCCCATCACCCCCTCACCCCTTTCCTTACCTCATCTTTGTGCAGCTGTACTGTGTCCCTCCACTCATTCTCCTCAAACTCGGCTCCCTGCTGCTCCAAACTCAAAACAGACAAGCACGGGTATGATTACTTGCACTGACCATGGCAGCAATGCTTTAAACCAAATAAGTACAGGGAGGGCACAGAGTATGGCTGCGTAGGTCACAGGTAGACAGGAAGCTAAAAAAACTGGCTCACCTGTTTTCCTCAATCTCTTCTGTCAGCACCTCAACAACAAACTGCTGACCAAAGCTGTCCTGAGATAGAGAGGCAGACATAGAAATGCATCTGTCAAAGATTTGGCCCTATAGTACTTTCACAGATTAGCAGTTTTGTTTTTGTGATGTTGCAAGAAAAACTACATTTTTGGTTAAAGTATTTTTGATGCCATTTTGCAAGTTTATTTACTGGATTCCTTCTAAATCTTTTGCAGAGTGACAATACAATTTTATGATAAAACAATCACATTTAATACATTAGTTTGTTGTGGTGAAGGGTTCTTACATTTTAAGATTTTACAACGCATATAGAACTATTCAAGTGGAACTTTCTACTCAAACTATTCCTCATTCTTCCAGCATTTCATTAATAATATCTCTATTCACAATTCTTTTCTCCCATCAGGTTGAGGTACTCAGATTTAATTTAGTACATCAATCTGATTCGAAACGATAGATGAAAGCTTTTGGTTCACACACAGATGTTACAATCTGGCAGTATCACATCCCTCTGGTGGGTTTCTTTTTCTAGAAATTTCTGAAGGGAACTGCAGCAAGCCATGTCTGCAGTTTTTTTAATCACTCTGGCAGCTGGCAAACTGCATGTGATTCAGCACCTCTTGAATAAGAAGTCTTTAAAGCTGAGCACTGCCCCTGGTCAGCGAAGACGAATATCTTACCCTTATGAGCAGAGTGTCTGCCAGGCCGAGCGGACAGGGTTTGCAGCGAGCAAGCACTCCCAGACGGGGGCGCCAGCTGAACAGCACCAGCAGCAGTCCCACGGACAGAACGCTCCCAACACGGCACAGCCACACGCGCCAGCACACGTACCTGTACCCCTGAACATCCTGGGGGGGGGACGGAGGGACAGACAGGAGATTGGGAACACATATGGCAACTTTGCTGCATTCATGCCCAGAGACCTCTCAATGGCAGCATTCAGAGGTGACACGGAAAACAGATCAGTCATTAGTATGAGCCCATTCTGCAGTAGATTTGTGGGTCAGTCTGCAAGGCTCATGAATGGACCCCTGTGAGGGTAAGCTAGAATTCTGCAAATGACAAGGCTTAAATAGCACCAAGCTGGATGACTTCAAAGAAAGGATGACATCACAGACTGACAGCAGAGGAGCTGTAGAAGAACTCATCACCTACAATGGTG